GCTCCCGCACATCCAGCCATTAATCGTCCCATCCCGGAACCTATACCAACCCCCCGCGCCGTATGTGGGGCCTGCGCGTACAGCTCCGAACCCTTCCTACCCCCCCACGCCGTCTGCGGGCCCTACGCGTGCAGTTCCGAACCCATCCCGACCCCCCGCGCCGTCTGTGCGCCCTACACGTTCAGTTCGGAACCCCTTTTGGAAAATACAGTCGTTGCCTGCGACACGAGTTTGGTCCTTGGCGCAAGAATGGTTTTGGGAAGGAAATTTTGGGAGTTCTGGTGCGATCCTCTCCGAGGACGCGGCAGTTGTTTGTTCGTGGACCCTTTGATGGGTTGCTCAGATGAAGGAAGCCTCGGTAGAAGTCGGAGGGCAACCCCTGTGTGTCTGTCTGTCTTGTTCGTTCGTTGGTTTTAGATCCGTCTCTGTGGTTGTGATTGGGAGGGTAATCTGGGCTACCGACTGTTCTTGTTTTCGAGGTTTTAGACGAGCACATAGTAGATAGTCCATCCGGTGAGCAAAGCATCCGGTGAGGAAAGGATGGACAGTCTTTACAAGCGTTGAAGATGTGATAGTAAAACACAGACTGGGGAGCAAACTCTTGAGCTCGTCACGTAGTCAATCCACTGACTTCCCTCGGTTTGACTCTGGACCGATATCCAGACGTGTGCCATGTTCTTTTCAAACGATCAACGAGTGCCATCACGTTCCAACCCAGCAGTCGCCGGATTGCGGTCCTCGTCAGCGGCCGGCCAAGCCTCGAACCAAATCGGATACTCCCAAAAGGATGTGATCGCCACGTATTTGGCGTCGGCGTCCAGTTGGGCACGTCCTCTAGTGTGAAATGCGATAAGGGGTGTGGAAAACCCGACGAGCGTGAGGAGGTTGGTCTTTCAGAGTGTGACACGTTCAAGCTCTGGGAACTGACGCCGAAACTGGTCAGGTTACGTTGGGCAACGAAGAGCTCTAATCAGGGCATACGGCCGTTGCCAGGCCCGTCTGTCTCCATCTCCAAAAAACGCTACCTGGTAGCGACTGACAGCATTGCAACTGCCAGAGGAAATAAGTGGTCAACTATACCGCACGAGGCGTGAGAATTAGGCATTACTACCTCCCTGTCCTGTGTCAAACACTTTGACAGACACACAAGTTGTCAGGCTGATTCTCGCGTCTGAAATCGGTACCGCGTTTCCTCGGAAAGAAAACAGTGACGCGCTGAGCTGGACAATAACATGTACAATGACATGCCGCGCATTTCCTGGCACACGTTGACGCGGACTCAGCCGGGACTTTCGTGCTTGTTATGGGAACGAAACGGGTTGCATATATGCAGGACGCAAGCGCATCGCCACGGGCATTGACTCTGGTTAGCCTCAGATTGAAAACGTCTACAGACCGTCTAAACCCTTTCCACTGGCTGAGCATTGCGAAAATTCATCAAACTTCCCTCTGTGCTCAATACTAGTGTGGAGCGTCTTGTCTCATGTCTGAATTCGCGTCCCGGTGAGTCGGCTCATAGGATTGCTGGAAGGACTACAGGCGGCAATGATGAGAAGAATAAGTTGAAAGTAGGGGTGGAGAATGGAATTTCTCCACAAGACGGGCATAAGGGAAAGCCGCCGTGCAGAGGTTCAGGTGGTGGGGTTAAGGTGCATGCATATAGAACATGATGTCAAACTCCTTGCTCCTTGACCTGGTACACAACGCGACGCGCCCGGCAAGGCTGGGAGATACCGCTTCTGGTGCTCTGTTTTTGTGCTGTTCCCTTGTACTAGATTGACACCGTGGTTAGTAAACGCGATCCACCATTACTCGCCGTGTTGCTCAATGTATGTGATCCTCGAGATTTGCACAGTCAAGGGGAATAGGGGTCTGTCCTGCATCATGCTGCATTGTCAAGTACCAGCTGAGGTTCAAGATGACACAGAATACACACACTGAGATTCCCTTCGTTGGATAACTCTCAGTATTTTCATGAACCTAAAATCTAATCAACAGCCCCTTGGATGTGCATTGTCTGCGGAACGGACTATGTAGCGCCGGAAATGCCCAACACAATGTACTCCTCGGGACCGATGGGGCAGGATAGATCATTCTTTTCACACCCTGCAGAGCATTGCATGTTTCAGAGTCTGGTCTCTTGCATTTGTTCACCGGCATCCGAAGAAGTTGTTGCTCTCGACAACGAGTGCTGATTGTGCCTCGAATGTCGCCTATAAAGGCAAATATCCCACGGATCTGAAGTTGATTCCCAAAAGTCTTCAGATGTTTCAAACACTCATGCTCTAGTTCTCAACTTCAACCCATTCAGGTATCTACATACACACAGCTCAAGACATCTACCAACACCCACCACCTACTCATCCTTTTAAACTTCCATCATCTACCAATATCTTGAAGACTTCGGTCACCTAGTCCTACTCAAGCCACTTCTATTAGTTCAGATCTACTTGTCTCCCACCATGTGCGACAAGAAGCTTCTCCGTTTCCGTAACTCCCGTTGCGCCGTCGGCCTGCAACGCGTCAATATCTGCGCCGCCCTGCGTCTTGGCTACGCCTGCAGCGGCTGCCGGATCGTCAGCATTCAAGAGACACTCGTTGAGAGAGGACCAGAGCACGCGGAGCACAACTGCACCTTGTCGGCCCTGTGCGCCTACGGCCCAGGCGATGAGGAGCCGCAGATCGTGGACATCGGCAGCAAGGTGCCGCTCGTCAGCATCGGAGAACCCTTCCACTGGTACTCGCCCTCAGACAGAGTGATGGAGCCGCCGGCGCCAATGTACGTGTCGGTCAACAGGCCGGTCACCGCAATTGCGGGTATTCAATGGGGAAACAAGGTCCTGAACGTGGACCAGCTGGTCGCCCATACATGGGAACTTGCGTGTAAGAATGGGGCCACTCCTTCTGGTGCGCTGGACACGAGCCCTTCGCCGAGTGAGGTATCAGTGACTCCGGGCCCCTCAACCGCGGAGCCATCCGCCACAGGTCCAACAGCCCGGGTCCTGGCATCCCCGTATCCCATTATCTTAAATCCGGTCTGCCCTTGGTTGGAGACCGTGGTACCAGCCATCCCGGGCCCAACGTCGACCATCTCGGCAACAGCAAACCGCAAATCAACGGACCGGGCAAAGCCAGGCCCGGCGTGGACACGTCGGGACACACCAATAATGGAGACCATGGAATCGGAGATGTGGATTCGAAACAGCACGGGCCCGGCAACGACAAACCCAGAAACGATGCGTCCATCAATGTTGTCCTTGGAAAGCACGGATCTTGATATGTCTGATTCGGACGTCTCAGACGAGGAGAACCCAGGTCTAGCAACAACAGCTCTCCCATCACCAGCCCCAGCAACAACCGGTCCAGCGACACCACTCCCTGGCACGCCTCGCCAGACGCTGACATTCTGGGAGATACCAGAGTCGGAATTGTACGATCCGGAGACGCCAAACCAAGACATATCAAGCTCGGAGAAAAGGGGCCCGAGGGCAGCAAGCCAACCGATGACAGTTTCAGGGGCACCAGACACAAACATGGACGGCCCAGACCTGCCAGAGCATCCAGACGTGGAAATGACAGAGGAAAACGCTTCAGAACTGAAGACTTCACGCCCAAAGACTACATTCCACAAACCGGCACGCCCGGCATCTCGACGTCCAGGCACGCTCCGCCCGGCGACTCGACGGCCTGACACGCCACGCCCAGACCTACCATGGCCGGACTCGCTGCTCCCGCAGACCTCGTGGCCACACATGCCGCATCTCGGCACGCCGTGGCCACACCTGACGGGCGGGCAAACGCTCCCTGGCCAGGGAGTAATCCGTCCAGGAATGGCAGCCGCTGTGGTAATGTCCCCAGCAGCGACGACCCCCAAAGAAGAGACAGCCCCAGAAGTGACAACCCCGCAGGCCAAGACCCCAAGCACGACGGCAAGCACACGCAGGGAACTCTCGGACGAGGAGCTGGCGGACCTGCTGCAATCTGAACTAGCAGGGATGGAGAAGGAAGAGCGGTTGCCGCCCCTGAGCCCAGAGACGCCTTCGGTCAAGAACTCGGAGTTGTCAGAGTTGCCAAAGACAGAATTGTCAGAGCTGGAAGCCATGTTTGGCGAGGATGCCATGGATGTGGACATGGACGGCACGGATGCTGATGATGAAGACGAAGAAGACTGGGATAACGTCGCCTCGGACCTGTCGACGTTGGACGCCATGTTCGGCCGGGAGGCCATCGATCACGAAATGAACGACATTGAGGAGGAAGAAGAGGGATATTGGGCTGACTCCGACTCGGACATGTCAGACGCGCCAACGGTCTACTTGGAAGTGCCGAACGACCCGGGGATGGAGGTCCTGCCGTCGATCGAAACGCCCGAGCCGGCCGAGCAGTGGCAGGAGATTCCAGAGCGCTTCTTCAACTGGCCGGTGGCAGATGGGCTTGGGACGACATTTCTTGAGGCGGCTCTTTGGCCGCGGACGCTCGATGGGGTGAATATCTATGAGGATCTTTATGTTGTCTTGGTTTGGTATGATTTGGCTTGGACATAACAGTTTGGTTAATATTCGAGTGCTTGTGCTGGCCTCGACGTTTTGCAGATAGTTACATAGAATAATGATAATAACTCAGATTATTAGTGTCTGTCATGTACACGGTAGACGTAACTGTTCAGTCAGCCAGATCACTTCCATATGACGACCGTTGTTTGTTCGTGTCGCCGCCATCCTGACCCACGATCCCTATCCCGGTGTCCAGGTTTTGTTTACCCAAGCATACCTGTCCCCATTCTTTCCCATTTCTCTAGCTTAACTTTCCTGTCAATTTTCACGTTGCTTCGAGGTCTCCCTTCATCGTTTCCTTTTTTTTTTATGATACCCAAGGTTGGCCGTTTCTTTCCCCGGTGGCTTGGGCCCAGAGAGGACATTGGTTGCTGTGGACGAAGGAAAGAACCACACTCACATGCAAAAATAGAGATGATTTTACGATGAAAAAGCAAACAGAGAAGATGTGCATGCCCAGGATCGAACTGGGATCACTTGCAACAGGATGGGCCATCAGGCTCACTCGCCAGGCGAGGTCAACACCAGATGATTTAAAAACCCCGTGCTGTTTGCAAGCGTGTTACCAATTACACCACATGCACATTTTCTCTGTGGTAACCAGTAAGCCAAACTCGACTCATCTAGGTACCTTAACTTCTCCTTTCTCTTGGTCGCCATAAATGCCAGCCGTACAACCCCCTGTCTCATTTCTCTGAGTGTGATCGTTCTCCTCGTCCTCGTGGCCTGCAAATCAACCAACAAGATCGGCGTGCTCACAGCCGCAGTCAGGAACAGAATTGTGCTCAGTTGACTCCTTGGATGTTTGCGTTTGCGAACGGAAAATCCTTCCACCATGACTTGTCCCTGTTTGCACTGACTAAACTGCTATGGGCGGCATCATGACGGTTTATTTTCTCTCAAGCACTCCTCAGTCCTCACTTTTGGTGGTCATCATCTCGAATTGTAGTTCATGGAATTTCTCGCCCTCTCTGAGCAACTGACCCCAGTTTGGTTCCTGCAGCCTCAAACACCGATTGGCGATTTCTTTGAACTTCCTTGCTGGTCTTCTACAGTTTCACGTCTACGAGGGCGCCTGTGTTAGTGAATGTGGAATCTTAATGACTCAATATCAATGTGCCCAAGCCCTCTCGGCAAGTGAAGGCTGTTCAAAGCGCTTGCTGTAAGCCTCAAACTCCAGGGCAGTATTTGGTTGGCTGTGAGGGAGAGCTTGCGATGCAGTTGGTGTTGAGAAACGTGGCTCCACTTCGGGGCGTCTCCCGTCCTGTTGTTGGCAGCCGCCAACGAAACACCAGACCGCACAGCCTCAGTTGAGCACAGCGCCATCTGGTAGCCAACCGTGCCTGAACCACCTGCCTTCTTTCAACAGTGCAGGTGGTAACCAGATTCCTCAGTCTTCTTCAAAGCAGGCTCCTCACTGAGGATCGGTCAAAGAGATGGGCAACTTCGGAATGTAACATCGGTACCTCTTTGACCCTTGGCCGCACTTTCTCTCCTGCTTCACTCCCAGAAACGATCTGTCAAGCAACATTGAGGCCCTGGACTTGGGTGGCCCGCAAATGTGGCCCTATCTCAATCGCGCGTTTGTCCTGCTCCGTGCCTTATGCAGTTGGACGAAGGAAAGAAGCAAGGAAGACGGAGCGGGCCAGACGCTGCACCCAAAGTCTCACATGCATGTGTTGGTACCTAGCAAATGAAAGCAAACCATTCAGTTTGTGCCCTCGCCCAACAAGACGGCAACGGACTTGCTGGCTGGGGCCAGAGTGAAAGATGAGCTCCTAACCACTCGTTGGTTCCAAGGGGATCCTCAACCGTGCCTGTCCTGGGTCTGGCAGCCTGTTGAGTCATGGACATCTACTGCAGCCAGGCACATTCACTCGCGGCGGTTGCGCCCAGGCGCACTCACTGGAAAGACGTCCTGAGTGAGGGAGTCCTCCATGACCAACGGAGCGTGATACTCCCGACCCCAACGCACTCTCTGGGTCGGACTTAAAAGTACAAATAGGGCGTCTTCGCACCCGCCCTCGATTGATACCAAGAAGCTTCTGCACCCGCATCCGCCACACAAATCTCACCCACCAGTCCACCCGTCTTTCCAAACAAAAAAGCACCTCCAGGAGCTACTCAACTTCCTTGCAAATCCAAATTGCTGGTGAGATCAGTGGAGGATACTTTTGTGCCGTGCTTACTGAGGTCCTCTAGTGTACTACCAAACTGCAAAATGGCCGCAGTCACGACTCCTGAGTTGGTCACCAACGTCAACTGCTCTTGTGGATATAACAACATCACGGGCAGAACGAAGTGCGAATCCTGTGGCAAGGACTTGCCTGTCGTTGTCCAGACTTAGCGGTCAGAAATATCCCAGAAATGGCTTGTGTGAAAAATACACTCCTGACAGTCTCCAAGACCCTGCAGAGCTCATGTTGTGGTGGTGGGAGCCAGTGAGATGGACCTTGTCCTCTCTGTGACTCTAGTGGGAGGAGGAGGGAGGGATGGGGGGTCAAGGGAAGGGATGGGTTTAAATCCACATTGTGCATGTAGCGCATCCAGTTGGCCATCTGGATTGTCACTCGCTTCACGCTACGCTGTTTCCTCCTGTATTTCATTAGGTTTGGACCTATAGCCAGATATTGTCAAACCGGTTCGACTTCATACAGCTTGCAAACCCACGCCTAATCCGAAATGATCGCTTGGCTTCAACTCCCTGATCAGCGATGGCAGGATCCTGGTGCGTCTGGAGGGTGTTGAAAATGGGTTCAAGTAGGACCAGCCTTGTCTGCCTTTTGGTGGAGATCTTTTGGGTTGGGGCATTCTTGACTTCCAGGTTAGATGAATACCGTGAGGTACCTCAGGAAACTGGCCAATTCCCGAACGCGTTAACTATCAAAATCGCCAACTGGAAGACGTAATCGGTAGTGGATTTCGGCCGGCTTGAAAGGCGCATTGGGTAGGGTAACCATGTCATTGGCAGGCTTGACAACGAACAAGCCTCCCAACCAACACAAGGTGGCACGCGGCAACTGGAACCCGTTCTCCCCTCTGCGCCCAGGCGAATCAAGGGGCTGAGTTTGCCCGAGTGGCCCCACAGGCAGTCAATGCAGGCAGCAACCAACCGCAGAACACGCATGGGACCTTGTCACGGTTTCACTGCCCATCCTGCCCGGTTTGCATTCTTTCCTAATGTTTTTGTTGGTTATGAATGAAGTGAACTGAGTCCAACACCGCAGACACTCTTAGTGTTGTCTCAAGCTGGTTTCTGGCCTCGACTCAGCCACCTGGGACTTGCGGCCTCGAGCGATTTGCACTCCTTAAGTTCTTATTCAAGCCGACACTGGTTGATCGATCACGGTACCTGTCCGCATCAACTTTCCGAAGATGTGGTACTTTTGTGTTGACCTTGATTAGATTGCCAAGATGTCCATTCCAAAAGTCCACGTCAATGATTCAATCCAAGCCATCAACGACAACTCCTGGGTAATCGGCGGCAAGCTCCTACTTTCCCGCCAATCTGCTCCTTCCCCGGACCAACCATCATGGTGTGACAGCAACGGCGGCTTTTTTGTGCTCTCCGAAGCCCCTTCACCACTGCCTCCATCCCAACCACACCCAGAGGACTCGGCCGCAATACCCCTGGTCTACTCGGCCGGTGACCAGTCAGCTGTTTGGCGCGTTGGAGAGGCGTTTCTCAAAGTTCGGGACCGTCGATACCCCAAAGTTACCCACGAACGCGTCACTCTGGAATATCTGCATAAAAAGAAACCCCTTAGCTTTGAGATCCCCGATGTTATCTACCACGGCGAATGGATCGGCCGGTATTACCTGGTCCTGTCTCGCGTGCCTGGGCAAACGCTCACGACCGCCTGGCCTAGCATGGGCGAGGAGCTGCGGCAGTACTATGTTAACCGGGTGGCCCAGGCGTGCGCAGAGATGGCAGAATGGAAGGGCAGCGCTGTTTGCGGGGTTGACGGGAGGGAGCTGATGGAATTTTACTTGGCGAACAGCGACACGATGGACCCGGAAGAACTCGGCAAGAACTGCGTCAAGATGGGGATGGATGTATCGACACTGGTATTTCACCATTGCGATCTCGGTCCTGGGAATGTCATTGTCGACCCGGAGACTAGGGGGATGGGGATTATCGATTGGGAAATTGCTGGGTATGTCCCGAGGGAGTGGGTGAGGACAAAGTTTCACTTGTCTTCGGGGATGGACTTTCCGGACGTGGAGGACGCCGATGCAAAGGTGGATTGGAGGCGATCTGTAGGACGGAGGCTGGCGACAATGGGGTTCAAGGAGGTCATTAGTGGCTGGCTAGCTACACGATAGTTGGGTTAACAGGGAGGTAGACACCTTTGGATTTGATATGAACCCACAATGTCTATGTATGTACAAGCGGCGACCACGCTGCTGCCAGATTGCCCACCACCGACGCCAACGGCTACCAGAACGCCTCCTGCGGCGGCGAGATGCGTAAATGGCAAGATGGATTGCGAGAGAGACGTTTGAATGGACCTCGGTGGACGCTGGGCCGCAAGGCAGTTTTGCGGCCCAACGGCGTCATCACCTCGTCGCGTGGGTTCACGTACAGCTATCGAGGACAAATGATCAGTGCCCGCGGCTGCTGCGAGCTTTCCCCCGACCCTGAACAGTGAGACCCATCGTCGGCACCAGGTTGTTGGGTTAATTTGGTAGCAGAGGAGAGCCCGCGGGAAACGTCCCGATCACCGTTGGCGGAGCTCGGAGCAATCGTCAGGGTACGCTTCGGATCAAACCACCACCCACCCGGTGCCCTCTCCATGGCCGGCGTGCCGCCGCAGCTCTGCACAAGTGAAAACAGGCAAACTGCTAATCATCCCTCTCCTGGACCCCAGTCCTTCTTAGCACCCAGGCGTCTGACCAACTTGGACCCCGAGCGGGCTAATGATATCTGTTGGAATAGCGGGTGCTGGGCGGTTTGGAAGGCCGTCACGCGGTAAGCTTGGGAGCGCTGGGAATACAGTGATCAGAAGGCTGCTGTAGTGATTTAGTGGTGGTGATGGCTTCAAGTGACGGTGTCTCCATTCCTCATATTATCCTGGTTCTATTGTTTCAAAGAGGGTGGTTTGAGCGAAGTTTTGGCGGCCAACCCCCTGACAACATCTTGGAGGGGGAGGCAACCCCAACTGTCAGGGCGATTATCTCTGGAATTTACTCTGGTGCTGGCAGCGATGCGACAGCGTCCCCACCCTAGTGGCGTCCGTCAGCGTTGGCGTCCGTCAGACCACTCATTTCTGAGTGGAGGATGCCGGACCGCCTGCGGACTGACTCAGTTGGCAATGTGGCATGTCCGGAGGCACGCAGACACAATGACCGTCGAGGTTTTTTACATGTTCTGGGTGCTGAGGACAAGTCAGTTGCGTGGCAGTGAAACAGACTGGCACAGTAGGACGGATAAGTCACTCAGCCTGAGGCATTTGACCGGACAGAGAGACATTTCCTTGCGTAGGTACGGAGTACGGTTATGTGAGCCCATAAATTCACTGATCACCAATACCTTAGTTTACAACAGAAAGCATGTACTTAGTATGCAGGATGGAACAGAGCG